GGCACAAATGGGTGGGGGTGGGGGTGGGGACTGGTGTTTGTAAACGCATTAATCACGGCTCTCCTCTGACCGTGTCACAAACAAATCTGGCAGCCGAACAGGAATGTAGAGTTTCCTGCACGTTTCGCAGCGACCTGTGCATGCATGCAACGTTCCAGCCGGCGAGAGGGTGGAGGGATCTGGGTCAGTGGGAGGTGTGGTGGAGTATTTTAAGCAAAATGTGTGGCTTTATTATCTGCATCATCATCATCATTGTAAAGTGTAACACAGGTAGTTTAAAAAAAACGCTGAAGGGAATGTGGCAGGACTTCAAAAGTGGCTTTTGGTTTGATCTCTCTGACTCATATTTAACTACAGCATATTAACATTATTAATGCAGCACTAGCTTGCAAATAGTTGTTGCAGCTTCCTGCAACAAAGAGCTGGTTTAAGAGATGTTACAGATTTCTGAAAAAATGAGCACAATAAGCCTGAGAATTTGGTTACAAACAGGAGAGGAAAAAAATGTGTTGTCAAATTTTATTTTATGTTTGTTTGTGGATGAGATAATGTGGACTTTTTCACTAAAATGAATCATGTGTATGGGATAAATCTTGTGCCAAAAAGAACTGAATTTGAATTGCTCAGATTGAATCTTAATGTGCATTATTTGAAATTAAAATGCATTGGTTTGAAAATTAATCTTACTAAATTGAAACTGAATTTAAAGTTTTATGTCTGAATTAATTTACTTTGAAACTGTATTTTGGTTCATTACAAATTCAGTTTGACTACTTTCACTTTCAGTTCCATAATTCAGATTTTTGTGTCACATCCTGGTCCTTGAGAAAGCCAGGCAGAGTAATCAAACACAGATCCACAGATTTTTGTTTTACTTTGGTGAAGTTTCCCTTCTGTATGTAACAGAGTTGATGTAATCCACTGTAAAGGTGACAAAAGAAGTTATTTATTACAGTGATTAATTTGACCTATATGTAGAAAATGTTACATTTACATCAAATCATGGATCAGATGCTGCTGCTGACTGATCCATGATGCGATGTAAATGTAACATTTTCTACATATAGGTAAAATTAATCACTGTAATAAATAACTTCTTTTGTCACTTTTACAGTGGATTACATCAACTGTTACATACAGAAGGGAAACTTCACCAAAGTAAAACATAAATCTGTGGATCTGTGTTTGATTACTCTGCCTGGCTTTCTCAAGGACCAGGATGTGACACAAAAATCTGAATTATGGAACTGAAAGTGAAAGTAGTCAAACTGAATTTGTAATGAATCAAAATACAGTTTCAAAGCAAATTAATTCAGATACAAAACTTCAAATTCAGCTTCAATTCAGTGAAATTCATTTTCAAACCAATGCATTCTATTTCAGATTCTGCACATTCAGATTCAATCTGAGCAATTCAGATTCAGTTCCTGTTGGCACAAGATTTATCCCATACCTGTGTGCAACATGGGGAAATGAGCTGGAGACTGGGTTTGTGTGTGGAACACTGAAAGTTTGATTTCAACTTTGAGATTTTTTTTTTTTTTTTACAAAAAGCTAAGTATTTTATGTTC